TATTTTCTTTGTATTGACTTACCATAATAAAGTGCTGGGCAAAAATTCAGAAATAGTCATTAGTAGAAACATCGTAAATGAATAAAAGTATTAGGGTCTAGTATTTATTTAAATGTACGTCTAACCAATTGCTGTTAATATGGTTACAAACCAAGATCTCCCATCAGAGTACTATTACAACATTTAGAAACTAGAAACCAACTAGTGTTCAATGACAAAAATGTTAAATTGTCAAATAGAAAAAACAAAGTACAGGGCGCCTGGGTGGCTCAGTTGGTTAAGCGACTGCTTTCAGCTCAGGTCATGATCCTAGAGTCCCGGGATCAAGTCCTGCATCAGGCTCCCAGCTCCACAGGGAGTCTGCTTCTCTCTCTGACCTTCTCGCTCATACTTTCTGTCTCTCTTTCAAATAAATAAATAAAATATTTTTTAAAAAAAAGTACAAATTTTAAAGTCCATTTATGTAATTTTTCTAAGAAACATGGTCACTGTATTATAAACAGATAATAAAGCGCCACTAGGCACAGAAAATGATTGAAAAAATAGGTGAAAATGTTATTTCTTCTATTATCTTTAAACCCATGGTCTCCATTATTTTTTAATCAGAGGACTGCCAATTTCCAGTTAAAATAACCTAGCCAGTAGATGCATATGGAATATTATACCAGGGTTGTCCTCACCCAGACCGGTTACTGGTGGGCGGCTTCTCAGGCATTGCTCAGGCTCACATTGCCAAGGAAACAAACACCGAGTAAATAAAATGAATCCATAAATTACATAAAGCCCAAAGGTCACCAACTCTCATGCAGCCCATCACTACGGCTTCTCTGGAATCTGGGTCCCCTTTGACCTCCCCTCACGGCACCTCTCCTGGAGGGCGTGGCTCTTTTCTGTCATCCTGTTGTGTCTCCCTACTTGGCAGGATACACAGGCCATTGTTCTACTGCATCCATTCTGTCCCACTTACAGAAATTTTGCTAACAGGTGTTTGGGGGGACATGAATACCATGACCACATCCCTTTCTGTCAAAAAGATTGTTGAGGCAGAAGTTGAAGAAAACGGAAAGATCTGTGTGGTGTGATAAAAAGGGAGTCGTTCACCTTCCCAAAGACATGCTTGTCCCTGTGGTTTGTGAACAGTACAGTTTGAGCAGAGGATAAGATATTGGTGTTTCCTTTAACATTTGGAGGGACATGACAAATTGAACCACATTAAACATCAAAGGCTTGAAATACTTTCAGTGGTTTCATTCCTCTGATCTCCCTGGATTATATTTAAAAAAACAAACCAAATAGCAGTCATGAATCATTGTGGTTTTTCCTAGAAGGTGTAACATCTCTGGTAGCAAGCGGAGTCCAGAAAATGTTTTCCATTTCTCAGTCTACGAAGAGCTAATAAATTGGACTCCATAAAAATGGTAACAAAAAGGAATAACGGGCACTTGGGTGGCTCAGTGGGTTGGGCCTCTGCCTTAGGCTTAGGTCATGATCTGATGCCTCCAGCATCAGGTCCTGGGGTTGAGCCTCACATCGGGCTCTCTGCTCAGCAGGGAGCCTGCTTCCCCCTCTCTCTCTGCCTGCCTCTCTGCCTACTTGTGATCTCTCTATCTCTGTCAAATAAATACATAAAATCTTAAAAAAAAAAGTGATAACAGTGTCACTGAAACCCTTTCTGACCTGTCTTTATCTGGAGATAACACCTAATCCAAGCAAATGGGAGTCCTATTTTCCATTGCATTTTTATGCTGTTCTGTGTTTGCAGTTGGTAAATATACATTAGAAGTATTTCGGTAAGAGTGGAAAATGTGCAAAAGATTCCAGGCTTATGCTTTACAGGGAGGGTGACCTCTGATTTTCAAAGCTATTCTGGAGGCAGAAAGAGAGGAGGGAATATAGATAGTAGACAGGCCTTCTCTGTTTGTGTAACATTAAGGTCTGTAAAATCAAAGTTTATACTTGGTTAGAGAAATAGGACTTCATTACTAATGGACTCAGAGAAGAAGGGAGGGATGTTAATTTCTTCCCTTTTCCAAGTAGGTCATTCAAAATGCTTGGTTTTTCCGCTCTGTAGCCAAAGTGCCAGTTTCCTTAGCTCCTTGCCTTTACTAGCATTGTTAATTTCAATCCTGGTGATTTTTATTGGCCCTTATCCTTCTATCCCTTTTTTGTGTATATGAGAGAGGTCAGGTAAATTGCTTCCAGGTGGAAGCTGGGGTATTTGCTCTTTTTGAGTTCAGCAAGCATCACAGTGTGAACAGGCAGGGCCCTTGGCCTCCCCCTGCTGGTGGTCAGCATCACAGCAGCCACAGTGTCCAGCCTCAATCACATCCAGCCAATGATGGCTGTTTGAATTACTTAGGTGATGACATATTGCAATAGTAAAATCAGATACAATCAAATTGATGGCTATTTAGAGTACCAGAGATAAATCAGACTCATCATTAATACTCTATATGTATAGAGAGATTTAAATTATTTTTCGCAACACCGTTAATACTTAACGGAAATATATTCTCTTCTGGACATATATAAATTCAGTTGGGAGTAAAATCCAATCACTAATAGTATGTGCTTGGTACATTTATGTATGGAAGGATTTATGCATAATCATTTGGGGGAGTAGCCTATTAAACAACATAGTGGTTGCTTTCTTACCTATGTGTATATGTGCTGTGCTGTGTGTGTGTGTGTCTGTGTGTGGTGGTGTGTACTGTTCTGTTTGCCCATACCATCTGCATGATATATAGTCTATCTGGTTTTCAGCCGTTGAAACCAGGGAAATGTTCACTCCATAGGTGCAAATTTTCCAAGCAGATGGAAAGCATAGATAACTCGGAATTATGATGGCACCACTTTCTACATTCGAGCCTGAAAGTCCACTGTATGCACTTTATGTATAGTTTGATGTGCAAGAATTTTGCTAAGTAATTCTTGGGATCCTGGAGCAAGCCTGTTGATTTCTTCAACAATAAAGCTATGAACAATTATTCATCTTCTTGGAATGAAGAGGATGATCTTCTTCATTATCTTCTGGTTCTTACTCTTTTTAAATTATTTTTAACTTTATTTCATTTTCTCAGTGTTCCAAGATTCATTGTTTATGCATCACACCCAGTGCTCCATCCAATCCATGTCCTCCTTAATACCCACCACCAGGCTCGCCCAACCCCCTACCCTCCTCCCCTCCAAAACCCTCGGTTTCTCTGAGTCACATCCATACAAAGACCCGTGTTTATTTAAAACAGATGCAATTACCTTAAATTTCAATTAGGGGGATTGTCAGTCATTCACAAAAATATGAATCCCTACTTCAGTAGTTGTTAGCATTTAAATTTGCTTTAAATGAATGTATTACAACTCATATAATTGATGACTTTTCTGAACCCAGTACTTTAAAGACAGGATGAAAAAAAAAAGAAAGAAATGGTATATCATGGGCATGACTACATTTTGGATCATTGTACACTTTGCATGAGCCAAATTTCTATGAGAGACAAGTACATTTCAAAGAATATGGCCATATAACAAAGAGTATAGCTGTGAGCAGTATTTTTCATCCCTGAAGTAAAATACCATGTTGTAGAAAAATGTATTCTGTGGCAGGTAATTTTTCTTTAATTTGTTACCTATAAATTTGAGTCAGAAGAAAGGTGTTTTAAAGACGTGTTGCTTTGAGAGTAGGTATGTGGCTCACGTTCTCCATCTCCCACTTCTGATGCCCATTCTGCGGGCACTGCCCACCCCTGCTCTTGGTCTGACAGTCAGTATCCGTGATACTGGAACCTTCCTAACCCAACAGAACAACTGGGGAGAATTTATTCCATAGAGAAGAGGAAGGGCTAATGCTAATCACATCAGATAGCAAGATCAGTTTTTTGAAATACGTATCCTGCGTATATTATATAAGCTCAACCGATTACTCTTTTTCCTCAGCCTTTTCTGATTTGAGCTTCTCAAATCAGGCCTGCCACACTGATGTTAGAGTCTTAGATGTGTGTTCAGCAACCAGTCTGCCTAAAACTAACACTTCTGATCGCACTTTCTTTAATTATTGCAAGTTTTAAACACTACTTACAGCTCTTCTTTGGACTGTGTGCAACCTTAGAAAATTGTCATTTTTTAAATTTCACTCCTATTAAAAAGACCCAAAATTTGAATCAGTTATTATAATGTGCATTTCTTAACAAAAAATGACTTGCCCTTCCTTCTCAAGAAGTCTAATTGAGAAAATTCCCCAATATATTTCTTTTTATGAATGTGATTTAGCTTTGGGGACCTTCCCCATGAAGATTTTAGAGTGTAGACTGAAATGCGATTTTTCTAAACTCTGATTTTGCATGATGAGGGTGCCTTTCTTACGTAGCTTTCTTCCATGACCCAGGTTTTGGGGAAAGACATTTCGTGACTCCAATGTCTTCAAGGTCTTTGTGACCATCAGCTTTCAGGCAGCAAAAGTAGAAAGACCTGGTAAAAGCCAAGTCTCTCAAATGACATAGGTCACTTCCACTTCCACTCAAATTCCTTTTGCTGAACGTAACTGCAAGGAGAGCAGAGGGATTTCGTGTCATTGGGGGCCCAGAATGAAGGGTAGGGTTTTTTTGTTTGTTTGTTTGTTTCATTTTTTCATTTTATTTTTAAGTGAAGTAGAGCGGACACACAATGTTCCCTTAGTTTCAGGTGTACAGCACAGTGATTGCACAGGTCTATGTGTTGTGCTCCTCTCAACTCAAGGGAGCCACCATCTGGCAACAGACAGCTCTCTTACAGTAGCGTTGGCTAGGTTCCCTATGCTGTGCCCTGCATTCCTGGGAAAGAGCAGTCAGTTCTGATAGATGGAGGGCAGACTCTGCCCTGCCAGAATCCTGAGCTTCTGTACCTTCCACAGAGCGTCCACATCTGATGAGCCTCCCCAGAAGGGCCCGAGGTGAAAGGGCTGGGGCTGGCTCTTCTTGAGGCCCCGTACAGATACAGACACAGCCTGTCTGGTATCCGGGCTGCAGGTCATACCTGGAACAGACGCCAGTGTGACAGCTGGAGCCGTGGTGTTGGCTGCCGAGGAGGTCCCAGTGGAGGAAACAGAGATGGAGAAGGCAGCTCTTCCTGCTGGGGAAGGAGCAGGTGTAGAGGAGACCAGGACTGATGCTGACACTATGGAGGCCATAGATAGTGACAGATCTCAACCAGAAGAACCAGAAGCAGCAGCCCCTCAGGTGAGTGAACTGGGAAAAGGGAGGCTCTGGGAGGAGGTGCCCTGGTTGGAATGCTGTGTAATGGAGAGTGCTGGTAACAGCTCTGGGGGCAGAACAGGTTTGTGGCCATTGTGTGGTAACCTGTTTCACCAAATTTAATTTATATATATATTTATATGGTATGTATTTATGTATATTATGTGTATTTTTTAATTCATATTTTTATTTTATTTAATATATTATATTTTTATTTTTATTACATTCTATATATAATAAAAATATAAATAATATAAACAAAATAAACTTAAGATATATAAAATTATACATATATAATGTAGTATATACGTATAATTTTATATATCTTAAGTTTATTTCATTTATATTATTTATATTTTTATTATTATTTAAGTATTTGTATATAAGATTGTCAGCAAGAGTCTGAGCCTGGCTTTCTCTCAGTGTCAGCATTGCAAGGTTCACACAGGCCCTGAGTGATGGAGAAAAAGAAGAAAGCACAGATGATGTAAGCGTGAGATGGAGGGAGCAGGAGGAGAATGTGGCCAGATGGTGGGATATTGTATGGATTATGTGAGAACATAACCATACAGTGCTTAGCCCAGTGCCAGGCACATGGGGAGAACCCAATATTAGTAGTTACATCCTATCGTTATTAGTATTTAGGGATTGTTGTTATTATTACAGCCCCTCACATCCACCATTAGGGAGGCTCCTTTCAGCAAAAGCTCATCCCTGTCAGTATATTCGAGAGGCCAACCGGTCATTAAATACATACATGAAGTTGGTGGACTAGGCCCAGTGCCTCACTTCTTCAGAGAACTGTTTGTTCAAAGCCCACAGATCCATATGGTCCGTGATGTGCGGGGCACACAGCAAGCGCAGCTCTTCTAAACCACAGCCTTGGTCTAGACTGCAGAAAGTAACAATGAAAATTGGACTCTCAATGTGAAACTCTCCTTTGTCCTGATTTTACCCATAAGAAATTTCCCCCAAATCTCTCCAGGGTTACTCAAAAAATGATCCCTTTCATCCCACTAGAAAAACAGCAGGTAGTATTGGTATTTGGGAAGTAACTCAAAAATATGTGCCATTTCTTCCTGAGATTTTTCTTATCAGAATGCCAGAACTGTTTTTGTATTATATTGTTAGACTTGTTGGAATAGTGTATTATTTTCTCCCAAATTGAAGAATGGAAGTGCTTAAGCCCACTGATATCCGAGGGAATAAACATCTCCAGACTTCCATTATGCTAGTGAAATTCTTCTCGTCGCTCATCTTTATTACCAAATAGAAAGGAGATCTTGACACTTGTTCCCCCCAGTGTAGAGTCCTCGGAGGAGTGATTGCTGGGAATTGTCATCCCTCCAGCTCTAACTGCAGCTTGAGCTCTAACGACAACAAGCAAAACAGATGCAGATTTTAAACATTAGCCAGATCTGTACAAACAATCTGGTTGGAGGCTAGTCAGGAGTCCCGTGGACTCTGGAAGAAAAGCAGTCATAGGAGGTCAAATGTCAGCTTCAAGCATTGTTAGGATTCAGTGGGACAAGAGTGGACCACGGCAAAACTGAGGCCATTCGTGGGACCCTCCTGGATTCCCCTTCAGGGTGGGCCCCTCCCTCCTCTCTCCCTATAGTCTCTGATCTTTTTCCCAATTTCCACAGAAACCCCACTTTTCACAAAGGGCCTGACTGCTCAAGGATCCAGAAATTAATCCCATTAAAGGTTTCTGTCTCAGGAGAGAGAGAAAGTTGACCATGTCAGGAAGAACGTCCTGCAAGGCTTGAGGCCCAGAGGTTTCGGCCAGGTTATGGGAGGGAGGATGTGGGGAATGTGGGAGCCAAGGAGGGTACGTCAGGGCTAGAAGCAGAGCACAGTGCACCCGAGGACGCAGAAGTCTTTCTTCCCAGCCCCTGCTCAGCACCGCCACACTTTTCTTCCTCCAGGAGAAGGTCATCCCTTCAGTCGTCATAGAGCCCGCCTCCAACAATGAAGGAGAGGGAGACCACGAAGTCCCCGCTGGTGCAGAGTCCATGGAAACACCCGGTGCCCCGGCTCTTCCCGGCCCTGCCAGTGAGCCCCCAGCCCTGGCTGCAGAGCCCAGAGCCAGTGAGGACTCCCAGCCGCTGCTCTCCACTCCAGCGGCAAGTGAGGCGCCTCAAGATGTGCCTCCCGGCTTCCTCTACAAGGTCTTGTTATTTTGTCTTGTTTTAATTGGGTGGCCATTCATCCTTCCTTTTCTTTGAGGCCCCTTTGCTGGAATCTTTGGTTTTCAGATGTTTACATTTGCATTTTTTGCAATAGGTATTTCTTCTCTGTACTGCTTTCCCCACAACACAGTGTAAAACGGCAGGATTTCTGGGCTGCTGGACAAGCAAAAACACAGTAATGACCTTCCATCTCTTTCAGCAATCCATAGTTAAAGAATGTTCACCACAGGACAAATGGTATGACCCTTGGTAGTGAGTTGGTGAATTCTCTGCACCCACTCTACCCCCCCAAGTGCCCTCTCTTGCCCCTCTCCCAGCCCTGTGAGTCCCTCCAGCCCTGGGCTCAGACCTGTATGCATCCACCCGGGGCTGGATTATATACCAGCCGGCCGGGGCGCACCCCGGCTTTTCTCCTTATCTGCAGTGTGGCCTGAGGAACATCACTTCTCTGTCTGTGCTCCAGTTTCTCAGTAGGAAAGTGAATTGGGGAATAAGCTAGTCATTTCCAGCTCTGACATTTTATAATTCTATATAAAAAATATACATTTTAATAGCCAATCACGTGATCTCTGGGGGTAGAGCTGAGGGGAGGGACATGGGAGAAATAAACGGTTCATAACTCAAGCAGGGTGAGTATGTGGGTCATTATGGTACTCTTTTCTGCTTTTGTTTCTCAAAATTTTTTATAATTAAATTTTAAGGAAATCTTTCAAAAAGGGGGGAAAAAGGTAGGGGAGAGGACAGGGATTTTTTAAGAGTATACACTTGCAATGAGTGGTAGATAAGCCCTAGAGATTTAATGCACAACATGGTGAATATAGACAATAATATTGTATCATAATCATCAAATTTGATCAGAGACTAGACCTTAATTATTCTAGCCACTAGAAAGAAATGATAAATACATACCGTAATAGAGGTGCTCAGTATTGCTACAATGGCATCCTCTTACAGTATACAAATGTATCAAATTAGCATGCTGTACACCTTAAATTTGCACAATACTGTATGTCAGACATATTTCTATTTTAAATTTTAATTTATTTATAAAATATAAATAAATAAAAATGAAACTTATGTATTTATTAACAAAATTATTAATTAATTGGTTGATTGATTAAATCTCTACACCCAACTTGGGGCTCAGACTCACAACCCCAAATCAGGAGTTGCATGCCCTTCCAACTGAGCCAGCCAGGCACCCCAAATATATTTCAATTTAAAAAAAGAAGAAAGAAAAGAAACAGATGGGTATGGTTTAAAGGTTAAGATAGGAAATCTTTGCAAATATCTTCTCCCATTCAGATAAAGGGCTAGTATCCAAAATCTATAAAGAGCTTAGCAAACTCAACACCTGAAGAACAAATAATCCAATCAAGAAATGGGCAGAAGACATGAACAGACATTTCTGCAAAGAAGACATCCAGATGGCCAACAGACAAATGAAAAAGTGCTCCACATCTCTCGGCATCAGAGAAATACAAATCAAAACCACAATGAGATACCACCTCACACCAGTCAGAATGGCTAAAATTAACAAGTCAGGAAATGACAGATGCTGGCGAGGATGCAGAGAGAGGGGAACCCTCCTACACTGTTGGTGGGAACGCAAGCTGGTACAACCACTCTGGAAAATAGCATGGAGGTTCCTCAAAAAGTTGAAAATAGAGCTACTCTATGACCCAGCAATTGCACTACTGGGTATTTACCCTAAAGATACAAATGTAGTGATCCGAAGGGGCACGTGCACCAGAATGTTTATAGCAGCAATGTCCACAATAGCCAAACTATGGAAGGAACCTAGATGTCCATCAACAGATGAATGGATCAAGAAGATGTGGTATATATATATATATATATATATATATATATATATATATATATACATACACACACACACACAATGGAATACTATGCAGCCATCAAAAGAAATGAAATCTTGCCATTTGCGACAACATGGATGGAATTAGATGGTATTATGCTTAGCAAAATAAGTCAATTGGAGAAAGACAACTATCATATGATCTCCCTGATATGAGGAAGTGGAGATGCAACGTGGGGCATTTGGGGGGTAGGAAAAGAATAAATGAAACAAGATGGGATTGGGAGGGAGACAAACCATAAGTTACTCTTAATCTCACAAACTGAGGGTTGCTGGGGGGAGGGGGATTGGGAGAGGGTGGTGGGGTTATGGACATTGGGGAGGGTATGTGTTATGGTGAGTGCTGTGAAGTGTGTCAACCTGGCGATTCACAGACCTGTACCCCTGGGGATAAAAATACATGATATGTTTATAAAAAAATAAAAAATTAAAAAAAAATTTGTAAGGAAATTGATCACAGGGTTTTATTAAGTAGTGATTCCCGTATGATGTGGAAAGTGATGACTTTTCCCATTATTTTAAAAAAATGTTATTAGTACTATTTTATTTATTTTTATTTTATTTTATTTTATTTGTGGGGGGAGTCAGGAGAATGGCAAAGAGAGTGTGAGAGAGGATCCTAAGCAGACTTCATGCTCAGAATGGAGCCCAACCGGGGACTTGATCTCATGACCCTGAGATCATGACCTGAGAGCCAAAACCAAGGGTCTGACACTTAACCAACTGTGCTACCAGGTGCCCCTGATTTTTCCAATTATTAAGTACTTGACAGAAGTGAGGTTAGAGGAACTTTCTGCTAGACACTTTCAGTTCAAGTTTAAAAATGAACAATAATAAAACATCAATGATAATAAAATGTAAATATCTAATAAAAATATGACAATATTTAACACATGACGTTTCAACTCTTGTAGAAGGTGTTGCATTACTAAACATACATCCAAAATGTCTCAATACAGTCTTCAAGAATTGGACGTTTTAAGTAAACAAGACCTCCTTTCTGTGTTCAGAGGTCTTCTCCTGTGGGGTATGCTGGGATCATTGTCTTCATCCAGCAGTACCTGCTGACAGTCTGGCTGGGAGACTTCTGAAGTTACATTTCCTTTTGCTTTTAAAATAGTAAATTCTTTTAAAATCTTTTGCAGGTGGAAACACTGCATGATTTTGAAGCAGCTAATTCTGATGAACTTACCTTACAAAGGGGTGACGTGGTGTTGGTGGTCCCCTCAGACTCAGAAGCTGACCAGGTAAAGAGACATTGAAAGGTTCTACAGCCTATGTTGTTGTTGTTGTTGTTTTCCCTGAGGGTCACTGGGACACAGTGAATAACTGAAGACATTTCTATTTTCTGAGATGTTGCATGGCAGCTCTGAAAAGGTCTTAAGGCTTATGAGCACATGACATGGCTAACTGTTACTCTTTAGAACACCTCTTTTAGGATATTGTTATGTATTTTTCTTGAGGATTTTATTTAGGAGGGGCAGGAAAAGATGGCAGAGAAGTAGGAGACCCTGTTTCAACCGGTCCCTTAAAGTGAGCTAAATATCTACCAGACACTCTGAACACCCATGAAATCAGCTTGAGATATAGGATTATACACTGCTGGATCTCTACGGGGGCAGAAGACATCAGTGGTGAGGTAAAGCATAGGGGGAATGCTCAGACTGATATCGAAGGATAAACAGAAGGGGGAGGGAGCTTCCAGAAGCGACCCATTGGAAAGTAATACCCCAATACGAAAGTGCTCTGTGGTTGGGGACCAGCATTAACTTGGGAGTCTGGTTAAAAGCACTCAAAAAGAGCAAAAGATCTTAAGGGGCAACTGGTGGACAGGCGGTCACGGTCACGGGCCTAAGCCCACGTACCCAGGTGCCACTGCTGGTGACCACCCATGCCAGAGAGAATCCAGCAGAGCCTCCAGTCTTTTGGCTTGCGGCTTTTGGCTGCTTGCACCACCGCTCGACTGGGTGCACTCCTGCCTATGCCTGAGAGAGCCTAGTGTGTGTGCCAGCTGTCGGTCTCTGGGACTGAAGCCTTCCGCGACCACCCAAGGGTCTGGACATTCCCAGTCCGTGCCTGAAAGAACCCAGCATGATCTCTGGTTGGGATCCTTCTGCAGCAGCCTTCGCGAACTGCATGACCACTGGTCTAAGTGCACCTGGCAGTGGGCCTGGACTCCAGACAGCAGTCCTAGCAAAGGCAGCCACCCGCAGAGGGCTCCGCAGACCAATATAGCTTGCGGTAGTAGTGGCTCAGGGGTGCAGAGACAAGCCAGGGCTTTGGGTGACCACTGGGATGGTGGTGGCTGCGGGTGTGCACTGCCTGTGGGAGGTTGTGCTGTTCAGTAGAGTTTTCATAGGGGGAATCTGTGTGTTCTGGACCACCCAGAGGGGAGCAGACTGAGGTTTCTCTTTGAGGCAGAGGTCTGGGTGCAGACATATTCTTTCTTTGCTCTGACCCCCCCCCCCCACAAAGGCCACAAAAACCTCCAGACAACCAAAGCCTGAAAAACCGGTTTCCACAGGGCCCAGCCCCTTGGTAACCTGCAGGGCGACTCAACCCAAGCAAGACTGACAGGAGAACGAGGCAGCAGACCCCTCCCCCAGGAAGCATGCCAAAAGAACTGGAGGAAAACCAGCACAGGGTCCCCATAAAACTGTAAAATCCAAACATCAGGGGAAAGCAATATATTAAGCTCCTGATATTGCCCTAAAACCTGTATGTTTCATAGATAAAAAATTTGTTCTCATGATTCTTGTTCTTTTAATTGTTCTTTTAATTTTTTTAACCTACTTACTATTACAACTGGAGGTTTAATACAACATAATCCATAATAACTTTTTAACTTGAACTTTTTCATACATATACCTATTTTTTTTCTTTTTCTTTTCTCTTTTTTTGTTAATATACATGTAGATATAAACATCAAGGTATCCTTTTTCCCTATTCAATACTACTTCTATATATAAATCAGTTTTAATTTCCCTGTTATCTCTGGAAAGTTGAGTCCTTTAACAATGATATCAAGATACACCCATGAAGAACTGACATAACCTTTCTTGCCCTTGCCTAACCATCTTCCCATCTTATTCTTCTGTATTTGTTTTTGTTCTGGTATTATGTAAATCTTATTCTTGGGTTTCATTTTGACTGGGTTCTTCTTTTTTTCTTGTCACTTTTGTCTGTCTTTTCGTTTGTTTTTGTTTATATACCTTATAAATCTTACTTTGGGGCTCATTTTGGCTGGGTCTCTCTTTTTTTTCCCTCTTTCTCTCTCTTTTTTCTTCTTTCTTTATTTTTGGTGGTGACGTCTGATTGCTCTGGAATTTTCCAGGGTGTGCCCTGTCTGGATCATGGTTGACATATTCAGCTAACATCCCCTCAACCACCTTTCATCAAAATGACTAGGAGGAAGAACACCCAACAGAGGAAAATTCAGAGACTGTGCCCTCTCCCTCAGAACTATTGGATATGGACATAAAAAGTATATCAGAAAGGGAATTCAGGGTAACAGTTATCCAGGCAATAGCTGGGTTGGAGAAAACCATTAGTGATAACATAGAATCAATAAGGGCAGAAGTGAGAGCTGACCTGGCAGAAGTTAAAAATACCATCAGTGAGATCCAATGTAATGTAAATACTCTAACAGCTAGGGTAACTGAGGTAGAAGATAGAATTAGTGATCTAGAAGACAAACTGATAGAAAAGAAGGATGAGGAGGAGGCCTGGAACAAACAGCTTAGAAGCCATGAAAACAGAATTAGGGAAATAAATGATGCCATGAAATGTTCCAACATCAGAATTATTGGGATCCCTGAGGGGCTGGAGAAAGAAGACTAGAAGATAGAGTTGAACAAATTCTGGGTGAAATTTTTCCCAATCTGGGGAATGGAATAAGCGTTCATATCCTAGAGGCAGAAAGGACATGCACCAAGATCAACGAATCTAGAAAGACCTCCAGACACTTGATTATGAAATTTATGAATCATAATTTTAGACAAGAGTTTCTAAGGGCAGCTAGGGAGAGGAAATTCCTTATATACAGATAATGGTCCATCAGAATAACATCAGACCTGTCCATAGAAACCTAGCAAGACAGAAAGGGCTGGCAGGGCACTAAATGAGAAGAACATGCAGCCAAGAATACTTTATTCAGCAGGATTGACATTCAAAATGGATGGAGAGATAAAGAGCTTCCAAGACCAGCAACCTTTAAAAGAGTATATGACCACCAAGCCAGCACTACAAGAAATATTAAGGCGGGGGCGGGGGGGGGGGTGGCTCTATAAAAGAAGAAAGAACCCATGAGTAACGGAACAGAAATTTACAGAGACAATCTGTACAAACAAGGACTTCACAGGCAACATGATGTCAGTAAAAACGTATCATTCAAAAATCACTCTCCCCTAAATGCTCCCATAAAATGGCACATGGTTGCAGATTGGATAAAATGACAGGACCTGTCCATATGCTGTCTATAAGAGACACATTTGGAACTTAAAGATACACCCAGACTGAATGTGAAGGGATGGAGAAGGATCTTTCATGCCAACGGGTCCCTAAAGAAAGCTGGGGTAGCAATTCTCATATCAGATAAATTATACTTTAAGCTGAAGACTATAGTCAGATACAGAAGGCCACTACATCATTCTTAAAGGATCTAGCCACCAAGAAGATGTAACAGTAGTAAATATATATGCCCCCAACGTGGGAGCAACTACATAAGCCAACTGTTAATCAAAATAAAGAGTCATACTGATATGACTACGTTAATTGTAGGGGATCTTAACACATCACTCTTAGTAATAGATCATCCAAACAGAAAATCAATAAAGAAACAAGAGCTTTGAATGACTTTGGACCAGATGGACCTCATAGATATATACAGAACATCCCACCCTAAAACAACAGAATACTCATTCTTCTTCAGTGCACATGGAAGTTTCTCCAGAATAGACCACATACTGGGTCACAAATCAGGGCTCAAACGATACCAAAAGATTGAGATTATTCCCTGCATATTCTCAGTCCACAATGCATTGAAACTGGAACTCAACCACAAGAAACAGTTTGGAAAGAACTCAAACACTTGGAAGCCAAAGACACCCTGCTTAAGAATGTTTGGATCAACCAGGAAATCAAAGAAGAAATTAAACAATTCATGGAAACCAATGAGAATGAAGACACAATCGTCCAAAACCTATGGGATATGGCAAAGGTGGTCCTAAGAAGGAAATACATAGCCATCCAAGCCTCACTCAAAAAAATCTGAAAAACGTAGAATACACCAGCTCTCTTTACATCTTTTTTTTTTTTAAGATTTTATTTATTTATTTGAGAGAGAGGCAGTGAGAGAGAGCATGAGCGAGGAGAAGGTCAGAGGAGAAGCAGACTCCCTGTGGAGCTGGGAGTCCGATGCGGGACTCGATTCCGGAACTCCGGGATCATGACCTGAGCCGAAGGCGGCAGTCCAACCAACTGAGCCACCCAGGCGTCCCTCTCTTTACATCTTAAAGAGCTGGAAAATCAACAACAAATTAAGTCAACTCCATGCACAACAAGGGAAATAATCAAGATTAGAGCAGAGATCAATGAGATAGAAACTAGAGATACAGTAGAACACATCAATGAAACTAGAAGCTGGTTCTTCAAAAGAATCAATGAGATCGATATACCACTGGCCAAACATATATAAAAGAAGAGAGAGAGGACCTGAACCAATAATATTATGAATGAAAGTGGAGAGATCACGATTAACACCAAGGAAATAGAAACAATCATCAGAAATTATTATCAACAGTTATATGCCAGTAAGTTAAGCAACCTAAAAGAAATGGAAGCATCCCTGGAAACCTATAAACTTCCAAGACTGAAAAAAGAAGAAATTGACAACCTGAATAGACCAATATCTAGTAACGAGATTGAAGCAGTGATCAAAACCTCTTCAAAAACAGGAGCCTGATGGATTCCCTGAGGAATTCTACCAAAAATTCAAAGAAGAAATAATACCTATTCTCCTGAAGAGGTTTCCAGAGATAGAGACAGACGGAAAACTTCCAGGCTCTTTCTAGTAAGCCAGCATTACCCTGACCCCCAAACCAGGCAAAGACCCCATCAAAAAGGAAAATTTTAGACCGATATCCCTGATGAGTATGGATGCTAAGATAATCAAGATCCTAGCTAATCAGATCCAACGGTACATTAAAAAATTATCCACCCTGACCAGGTAGGATTTATCCCTGGTTCA